GCTTTAAGATGGGTGGACTTCAACTCCCAGAATCCTCCAACCAACAAGCTTTAAGATGGGTGGATTCCACTCCCAGGATTCCCTTTGCAAGCTTTTCCCACTTGATAACCATAAGGACTACAAACTTGCGCTTTTAAAGAAGAAAACAGTTCCTTCGTTCACTCTTTTCTTTCTCTCGCCTTGTAGGCAGCCTCTTTTGGAAAATGCTTCATCGACAAATACGCACCGGAACATTTTGTCGAAACCTGCCGAGATCTGCGAGTGCTTAACGCCGTGCGAGATTACCAGATTGGGATGCCCCTCAGCTTCGACCAGTATCCTTTCCAGATGGCGGAACCAAAATGGATCACGGGAAACCGGATTCCCCCCCCCACCCCCCAATATTTTTGTCCCTCCGTTTTTAATCATGCAAAAATTTGCTTTCTCATCAAAGCAACAAAAAGACAGGGGGTCCTCGATTTATGACCCCAATGGAGGCTCGGCGGGGCCGTTAAGTGAGTTTTGCCCCATGTTATGACCTTTTGTCTCACGGTGGTTCGGCAAGTCATTAAGCTAATCTGGCTTCCCCGTTGAGTTTGCTCATCAGACAGTCGTAAAAGAGGATCAGGTGGCTCCGGGCCAGTGCAGCCGTTGTAAGTATGAGTCAGTTGCCAAATGTCTGAATTTGGATCATGTAACCAAGGGGATGTTGCAATGGACGTAAGTGTGAAAACAGGCCATAAGTCACTTTTTTTCTGATCCAATTTTAACTTCGGTCACTAAATGGATGGTCGAGGTCTGCCTGTAATTTGGGGAGGGGTAACATACAAGCTTCTGATCTCCTTTCCTTCAAGATATGTGAACCAACGAATCCTAGAAAATTCTTAACAGATGATTTACAGATATAAACAGCTGACCAAGGAGGTTTTACTGGATAGGTAACTTAATTTCTCCTATAAATGTATTGCACGTCTGGGTTAATTTTCCTCCTCTTTTCCATCTAAAAACAGACAAATCTTGATCAATCTCAGTTTAAGGGCTGCTCTGGCTTACTAGAGTCTGAAGCTGAACATCGGTAGAAGTCAAAATTGTTTTTTATATTATTGTTATTATTATTAGTTTGGCGAGATTCACAGCCTTTGGGGCTGGTTGGTAGCTCAACAGCTAGAGTCCTAACCAAGGAACTAGGAACTGTCTAGGTAGCATTGGAGGATATAAGCTGTTCCAAGTAGGGTGGTTTTTTTTGTTGAATCAGGGTATTCAAGCCTGATAAATTCAGGATTTCCAAATAGCAAAGCAGCCCTTTAGGTATTGCTCCAAGGGCTCCAATTACAATTGGGATAACACACAATTTCTTTTTCCAAAGTCGCTCAACTTCAATTTGTAAGTCCCGATACTTTGTGATTTTTTTCTTGCCGCGTGTCTACAATTCGTGCATCACCAGGTATTGCAATGTCAATGAACCAAACCTTTTCTTCTCAACTATTGTTATGTCAGGCGTGTTGTGGGCCAAGTGCCTGTCCGTCTGAATTCTGAAGTCCCACAAGATCTTGGCTTTTCCATTCTCCAGAACCTTCTCAACAAGAAAAACTCCTCCTCCTCCTCCTCCTCCTCCTCCTCCTCCTCCTCCTCCTTCTCCTTAATAATAATAATAATAATAATAATAATAATAATAATAATATCAATTTGGTTGATTCTTCGAGACATCCTGGATAGTTTTCTTGGCAAGTTTGTTTAGAACTGGTTGGCCATTGACTCCTTCTTGAGGTTAAGATAGATTGACAGGCTTAAAGTCACCCAGCCAGCTTTCATGCCTAAGACAGAACTAGAATTCACTGTCTCCTGGTCATTGGCCCAAAATCACCCAGCTGGCTTTCATGCCTAAGACAGAACTAGAATTCACTGTCTCCTGGTGATTGGCCCAAAATCACCCAGCCAGCTTTCATGCCTAAGACAGAACTAGAATTCACCATCTCCTGGTCATTGGCCCAAAGTTACCCAGCCAGTTTTCATGCCTAAGGCGAAACTAGAACTCACTGTCTTCTGGTCATTGGCTCAATGTCACCAAGCCAGCTTTCATGCCTAAGGCAGTACTAGAACTCACAGTCTCCTAGTGATTGGCCCAAAGTCCCCTGGCACTTCAGCCACTATACTAAACTGGCTTTTTGTAGCCAAAATAGCCCGTCCCTAAAGCTGGAGGCTCTCTTTTGGCTCCCGGTTAAAGACTGAGCCCTGTTCCATGGGAATGCATGCCTGTCACAAACCACGGCTTGTATTCTAGCCGTGTGACCTGACCCTTCAGCCGTTGTGTTTTAGGGTGGTTTTAAGAAGACTGTATCCCATCGCCATCAAGATCTGCGAGTATCTCCGTCTCTCCGAATTCCAAGGAATAAGCCGGATTTTGGCCCACTGGGCCTGTTACAAGGTACGATCCAGAAAGCCGTCATTAAGTGGGAACAGCCTGCCCAAGTCCTTCCCCCCACCTTCCCCCGAAATTGCATCTTGACGCAACGGTTCTTAACTTCGGGCGCCAGTTGTCAGTCCCCTCCGTTCGTAACTGCGAACAGTCGCTAAGCGCGGATGGCCTGAAATGGCGTTTTTAACACCCACCTCTTCGTTCTCAGGTTCAACAGAGAGACAAATCAGACGAGGAATTGGCCCAAGTCATCAACCAGAAACTCGGTGACGCCGTGGGCATTTCGTATTCGGACATCGCGACGCAGGCTTACGAGAGCAGCCGGCCAGAGCTGGCTATCAAGGTTCGAGGGAAATGGGTTGTGATCCGTCCCGAAGAAGGCCTGGGAAGGAAGGAGGGTCTAAGAAGCAGGAAACAACAGGGCTTCTCTCAATAGGAATAGGATGAATGGGCTGGAAGGGACCTTGGAGGTCTTCTAGTCCAACCCCCTGTCCAAGCAGAAAATACTATACCATTTCAGACAGGTGGCTGTCCAGTGTCTTCTGGAAAAAACCTCCCATGTTGGAACACCACAACTTCTGGTGGAAGCTGTTCCACTGTTCAGAGGGGTGGGTTCCCTCCTGGCCATTTCCCTGACATGCTACCTTTCGAGATGCGAGGCGTTCGTCTCGCCCGCCTGGAAAAATCCCAGATAGCTTCAGCTTGGATCTAGGCGTTCTGCAGGCGGACTGGGCCCAGCCACAGTCAGCGAGAACAACGTCCTAAGTTGCCCTGCTAGATCAGTGTTTTTTCACCCTCGGCGACTTGAAGAAGCCTGGACTTCAAACAACTCCCAGAATTTCATGATGGAAACCTTGTGGGGTTTTTTGTTGTTGTTGTTTTTGCAGCTGCTGGAATACGAACCCAGGCCAGGAAAGCAGGTTCCTCTTTTGCTGACCATGAATAGAAACCAGCTAGCGTTGAGCAGAGCCATCGAGAGCGGGGACAGTGACCTGGGTAAATCGGAGGGGGAGGGGAGGGAAGGATGGAGAGAGAGAGAGAGAGAGAGAGAGAGAAGATAGAGATTGAGAGAGAGAGAGAGAGATGATATATGATAGACAGCAGACAGACAGATACAGATAGATAGATGAGAAATAGATAGATCAGAGAGAGAGAAATGAGAGATAGGTAGATGTGTGTGTGTGTGTGTGAGAGAGAGAGAGATGATAGACAGCAGACAGAGATAGATAGATGATAGATAAGAAATAGATTGATAGATCAGAGAGAGAAATGAGAGAGATGAGAGATAGGTAGGTAGATATATGTGTGTGTGAGAGAGTGATAATAGACAGCAGACAGACAGATATAGATTATAGATGTGAGATAGATAAGAAATAGATGAGAGAGAGAGAGAAATGAGAGATAGATAGATGAGAGATAGATAGATAGATAGATAGATAGATAGATAGATGGATGGATGGATGGATGGATGGATGGATAGATAGATAGATGACATATGGATGGATAGAGATATATAGAGATAGGTATATAGAGGTAGATGATAAGTAAGATAGATAGATAGATAGATAGATAGATAGATAGATAGATAGATAGA